GGAGCTTTGCAACTGCGACGTCCTCACGGCCTTTTGCCTCTTCAAGGAGAATGCCAAAGAGAAGAAGCCAGGCTACGTCCCGAAGTACAAGAAACTCATGGATGCCATGCTCAGCACATACAATGAGTCTGGGCAGGCGAAGGCTTCTTCATTCCGCTTTCCCCAGCTCTTGAAGACCACTGTCCTCATTCACCGCCTTGTTCGCAAGGCACGTGGAGAGTTGAAGAAACCTTTTCAGGAGCGCGTGGAGAAAGCACTCGAGGGAGTGGAAGAAGCAGCAGTGCCTGATGGTCAGCTGCTGGAAAAGTTTATGGGGCGCCAAAAGACCTACTGCGACATTTGCCAAGGATTCTCAGAAGAGGACTTAGCATCGGCTCTTTGCAAGAGTGGGAACTACGCCCCTACAGCCTTGCTTCTGTTGGCGGCCTGCCGCCAAGATGTCCGAGTCTTTTTTCCCCCTCAATACCTCTTGAGTGAGGGTGGAAGGATCAAGCAGCAAGTCATGGCAGTGTCAGCACCCACAAGATCCACAAGAAAGAGCTTCGGTTCATTCAGCATGTTTGCTTCAAAACCTTTCGAAGATGCTGACAGCTCCGTACAAAGCGGGAGCACGCGATTGAGTGTGTCCAGCAGCGCAAGTTTTCTGAGCCGCATTTCCGGCACTCACCAGTCTTCAACCCATGATGAGGAGAAGCCCAAAGAACGCCGCAAGAGCGGCCTGATGCTGGCTTTGGCCTTTGACGACGATGCCAAGATGCAGAGCTACCTCAGAAGGAGCTCGAGCTTTGCTTGTCGTGAAGCTCAGGTATCAGAGCCGGAACAGGAAGAGATTTGTGTGTGATGGAGTCAAGTCACTCAGTCAAAAACTGTAGCAGGCTGACTCTGTCTTACTTCGTTTGCCCATGCTGAGCTCGCATTCAGCTTTTCTGGCAAACAATTGTTGGCAAGTGCTGGCATTCAGTTTTTTTCCCCGCAAGCTGACTGCCTAATACCATATTTATAATTCTTTCTGAATACCTCGCATCACAAATACATATGCGAACCCCTCCCGAGCAGCCTCAGTGGCAGCCGGGTATACCTCTTCGCTGTCCTTCGTCCAGCCAGAAAGATCTTATGCCGCTCGGGCCGCTCGACTGGTTTCCAAGAGTTTTGTTTGAGTCTCAAAGGGCTCTGCTCTTACCTAGAAGTCCTCAGAGAGAGCGAACTGCTGTGGACACAGAACTCTGATGCACTTTGCATGCTTTGCATGTGTGTCGGAAAAATCTGTGAGCGATTCAATCCCTGGACGTGCAGGTGCGGCGGATTCCAATGTCGTCCTTGGCTCAGTTTGCAAGTGGGATGCGCCAGTTGAACTGTGGGAGCAGTTCCAGATTCAGAATCCACCTAGCACAGATGTGGGTCAAAACCAACAGGACTAAGACTGAATCGATGGACATCAACACCATGTTGTTTCTTGCTTTTGACATTCGGACGAGTACTTGACCCACCACCAACCCCATCTCTTCAAGAGTTTTCCACGTTTCCGTGGCACCCGGAGGGGCGGTTTTTTTCCCCCGCTCGTTGAGGTCCGGACGCGGGTGAGTTTGAAAGTTCGAAGCTGGCACCCTTTCGGGTGGAGAAGGTGGGCCACATGCAGGGTCGATTTGTCAGACGAACCTTTGCGGCTTTTGTTTTTTAAAGTTTTCATTTGTGTGAAACACATCAAGACAAATTCAGCTCCTACAGTCACAATTGTATTATTTCAAGGCAGACAGAATTAAAATATGTCAAAGAATCAAAACGCGAGCGATTTTGATACATCAAAAACAACCATAAAGTGTACAGGTTTAATGCACATAGGATTTGGGAGCAGTGCGTACTGTGTACATTTTTTTCGACGAAGAATGAATAACCAAAGCTCCCAGTCGATCAACAAAAATCATTTCATTTCTGCAGATGTTTGGAGATCGGACATGATGTTCATTTTTTTCGAGCAGCTTTTGCGATATGATGCGATATGTTTTCCTGTCAAGTCTTGCACTCTTGCTTTTCACCAATACCGATTCCAATATAGCATGAAAGCAACGCTTTTAGCTTCGTTGCATGCGATGTTTCCTTCATGCTTTGATTTTGCAACCTTAACTATTGCCGGTCCTTCCCTTGCAGGGGGGGTGCTATTGCCATTACCATTGTTGAAATTTGTTGAACAGTTTTTTTCTTTTTTAACGGATTTTAAATGTAAGTTCTTCAACTGCAATCGCTAAGAACGGGAAGGAACTCTCCTCTAAGTCCGGCGTGTATCCTCCCAATCAACTTGCATGACACAATGGACCTAGAAGTTTGATTGAAAAGATGTTTGTGTTCTTTGTTTGCGTTCCCATTGCCCACGATAGGCAATTTCCGTGATCGATGAGGTGGGGGTTTGGCATGTCATGGAGAGCCATTCGACATGCTACTGTGGAAGATATGAATCCTAGAGCAGATTAAATGTTTGAAAGATTCAGCCATGAACGATTCAGCCAATCATCACATCCCGTTTCTTTGCAACATATCACAACGTCACAACGATCTGAGTTGGTTTCAACATATTACATTTCAAGACTGGTAATTTTCAAATTGTTTCAAAGTCATTCAAAGCTGTTGATGCCTAACAATGTTCATATTTTAATATCCCCATGATTGCTGGTTGATACCCCCATTGTGAGTCATCCAGCACTGGCTTCCCAACTAGTAATGCAGTGAAGGAGCTGCCCCGGTATATATATATATGTATACAAATATCTATATATATATGTATATGTATATACATAGAGTCTAATATTCATGAAGTTCACATACCAGTAGTACCGCACAAGGCGGTGGCGGAAGTTTCAAAAATAGGAAACCTATAGGAGAGGTTGGTTGTTGTGAATCACGGATGGCAGAGCGAAGCCACTGATGGAGCGAAAGGTGATTGATCTCTCTCACGCTTTCTCTCTCTTTCTCTGACTACCTACCTACCTACCTACCCAGCTAGCTATCTACCTATCTCTCTATCTATCTGTCTATCTGTCTATCTGTCTATCTGTCTATCTATCTATCCTATCCTATCCTATCCTATCCTATCCTATCTATCTGTCTACCTGTCTATCTGTGGTGCAGTGTCATTCAGTGTAGTGTAATGTAGTGTAGCGTAGTGGAGTGTAGTGGAATGCAGTGTAGTGTAGTCTAATGTAGTGTGGTGGAGTGTAGTGTAGTGTAATGTAGTGTAGTGTAGTGTAATTTAGCCTAGTGGAGTGTAGTGGAGTGTGGTGGAGTGAAGTGGAGTGTAGTGGAGTGTAGTGTAGTGGAGTGAAGTGGAGTGTAGTTGTAGTTGTAGCTGTAGTGTAGTGGAGTGTAGTGTAGTGTAATGTAGTGTAGTGTAGTGTAATTTAGTGTAGTGGAGTGTAGTGGAGTGTAGTGTAGTGGAGTGTAGTGTAGTGTAATGTAGTGTAGTGTAGTGTAGTGTAATTGAGTGTAATTGAGTGCAGTGTAGTGTAGTGGAGTTTAGTGTAGTGGAATGTAGTGAAGGTGTAGTTGTAGTTGTAGTGCAGTGTATTGGAGTGTAGTGTGGTGTAGTGGTAGTTGAAAATGCTACAAAACCCTCACGTTTCGCTCATTTTTGACAAGGTGCACAATCACTTGCGCCTGCCACGCGAAACGACATCTGAACCTCCAAAAATGGTCCGTGCATGGTGTTTTGTACATTTTGACTTGGAAATGTGCTTCGCGCCACAGCGGCGTGCACTTTTTCGACATCGCAAAGTGGTCCGAACGTGATGTTTGTTGTACATTTTCACTTGGAAATGTGCTTCGCGCCACAACGGCGTGCACTTTTCGACATCACAACTTCCAAAAGTGGTCCGAGAATGGTGTGTTTTGTACATTATGACTTGGAAATGTGCTTCGCGCCACAACGGCGTGCACTTTTTCAACATCTCAACTTCCAAAAGTGGTCCGAACGTGGTGTGTTTTGTACATTTTGACTTGGAAATGTGCTTCGCGCCACAACGGCGTGCAATTTTTCATCTCTCCTCTGGCCAGCTGGCTCTGCACCCGCCGCTTTAGCGAGCCTACTCTTCGACCCTCCGGAGCCACAAATCATTGGAAAAACACAGTGTTTCGCGACTTTCTTACCTTTTCGCGCATCTGCATCTTCTTTCTTCTGACTCTTTCTCTTCTGATCTTTCTCTTCTCTCTACCTCTGCCCTGCTCTGCTTTTCATCTGTCCATATTGTCGGAAGTTTGACTTCTAAACTTCCTTCGATCATCGGCTAGGTAGGTCTGGGATAGGTGTAGGACTCTTACGTTGCATGTTCACACTTTGATTTCTTTATTTATTTTATTCATTTGATCAGACAGATTCACACCTGGAGTGATCAGCCAGTCCGATCGTTGGCCATTTTGGCGCGAAGAACGTGATCAGCTCCAGGCATCATCTCTCGAAAAGAGAAGTGATCAATTGAGGGCCTGGGAGCTCGTTCACTTAAATAGCTCTAGATCATGAGTTTTCCCCCTGCCTACCCTGCTCCTTCGTCGTTGCGGCGCCAGCAAGCTATGGCAGCAGCTCGTTCAGCTGAAGGAGTGCGCCCTGAAGATAGCGCATCTATGGTAGGCTCTGCGGTGGGATCTCATGGGTCTTGGAGCGTTGTGGCCAATGAGCAGTGGCTCCACCAGCCGCTCAGGAGGTGCCCATGCAGTTCAAAGGCTCCTCCTCCTGGCTTTAGAGTTGAGGACAAGGAAGCGGCCCCAACACATGAGGCTGACCCTGACCCAGATCAGAATGTGCCGTCGAGGTGATAGGGTGCATGGAGCATTTTGTTGTGGACGCTGAAGAGTCCCAAGCTGCTCGCCTTTTTGTTTGGTGGTGGCTCTGCATGGTTTTGATGACGCGGTTCATGTGAAGCCGCATGAGCTCATCCTGACCGATGAAGGCCTGTTCGGCGTTGCATGGCAGACAAAGGTCGAAAGGAAGAGAAGGGGAACCAAGTTCGCTGTTCCCCATGTCGGCTTTGCTGACTCTGGATGGCTGCTCGCTGGCTGGAGCATTTTTCAGCTTGAGTCTTTCGACAGAGACTACTGGATGCGTGATCTCAACACCCGCGAGGCCTTCAGAGATGCTCTGGCGGCCTATCAACGATCAGTTCAACCTTGCCAAGTTCGCTTTGAAAAAGTACTTTCAGGGCGAGGAGCATGCGATCAAGCTGGCTGAGTCGAAGCTCCATGGAATCACCGCACACTCTGCTCGTGTGACGCTTCTAGATGCGGCGGTGCATGCTGGTCGCTCGACGGAAGAGATCGGTTTGCAGGCAAACTGGAAGAATCCCGGTCCGCTCGTTTTGAAGTACACACGGAATCGCACGAGTTTGCCAGCTCAGATGGTCCAACAGCTCGTGAAGGACATGGTCGACCACTCCCACCCGTTCGAGGTGCCACTTGATGCGGTGCTTGACGATGGAGCCGAGACTTCTTTTGATGAGGTTTAGTTCTTCGTCAAGACCCATGGCTCCAGGGCAAATCAAGATTTCCGTTTCCATTGCTCGCAGGTGGGTGGCACTTCGGTGGTGGCCTGTGGACGCCTCACGATCGAGGAGTGTACGGAGACTGGCTCAGTTCTTCCTGATCCTTCACTGCTGTGCAAGCGCTGCGCCCTAGCTCGCCCTGATGTGGTGTCTAGGTGCTTTACTGCAGTTCGCACTCCAGGATCGTCCTGTGTCTCAGCTGCATTTTTGTTTTTGCACAGTTGCATGACACTCATTTCTGTCATGGTTTCATGTGGCATGATCTGCAAGTTTTCTTTTTCAAGAAGTGCATTTCAGTGATCGATGAAAAGATGATAGATCGCACGGTCTACGCGGCTGATGCCGTGCCTGAGCTCCCATTGCGGCAAATTCTGGGGCGTCAGAAGATCCCAGAAGATCTGTGCAAGCTCGTGGCCAACTCTGGCCTCAGGAGCGTTGAGACGTTCGCGATGCTGGGAGATACTATAGCCATGGTCAAGCAGACGATCAAGACTCTGATACCTGATCATGCCCAGCTCGGAGCTGATCAACCTGCTCAAGAACTGGCTCTGACCTCACTAGCAGCAGTTTGGAAGACATGCTCCACCATGCAGGACCACTTCGCAGCTCGCAGGGCCACTGAAATCCCTGGTGAAGACCATGCTGAATTCAGAGAGACGTTCGTCTCCAGGCACCCCGATGTGGTCCTTCCAATCCATCGTGAGCCACACCGCAAGTTCGTGGAGCGAGTCCAAAAGGATCACCTCGTCCACGGTTTTGTTCACTTCTATGACCGCTAGTTCAGAGACCCAGGTCATGGACAAGCTCCACCCGTTCTTCATCACCTTAGAGTACCTCAACACTTGTGAGTTCTCCTTCAAGGCTGGTCCGCTCAAGTACCTGGCCGAACTGGAAGAGTGGCGGCATGAGAACCGTGGCCTTGCTCTGCTCCTGGCGGCGGACTCGCTGATCAGGAAGAAAGTCCATCGGGTGAGCTCGGATCAGCCGAAGAAGTTTAGCACCTTTTCCGCGGCTCTTTTGGAGGTGCTCACCAACCACACTCGAGTGCGGAGTTGGACAAGTTCAAGCAGGCGTCGACAAGCGCCCCTTCGACGCCGCCCAAGAAGCGAGCTCGTTCGACATCATTGCCTTCTCCACCAAGTACAGCCAAGGCCAAGAAGAATCGCAATCGGTGTGCTCGCCAGAAAGCTCAGCTTCAGCAGGCCAAAGCAGTTCTAGCAAAGAACTCTGATCGAGATAAGCCAGACAGCAAGAAGCCGTCTCGCGATGCTCGTGTGCCTCCAGCAGACTGCCAGAAAATCACCTCGTTCAAATCAGTGCAAGCAGAAACACGGCTGTGTCGTGGGAAAGACCACCTTTGGCATGGAAATCACTGAGCCACCCCCTGAGGGGACTGCGGCTCCCTGCCCAGCTCTGGGCCTAGCGAAAGGCAGCAATGACGGCTCTCTCAGTTCTGCTGAGCGCAGCTCGAGCCCTTCGTCAGTCGAAGGTTCCTTTGCTGGGTCTTGGGCCACAATTTTGTCATATTGCCAGCTCTGCGGAAGCAAGGGCGTTTCTTTTTGGAGCTCTTTTCTGGCACCGCAGGGATCACGGGAGCCGTTCAGCTCGCGCCCATTGACATCGTGCTCTCCGACATGGTCAAAGAAGTCTCAGATGTGGTGGATGCTCAAGTGTGGCAGCGTGTGGTGCGTGTTCTACGCGAAGGGGTGGTGTTCTACCTGCACTGTGGCACGCCCTGCAACACTGTTTCTTCTGCTCGCAAAGATGACGTAGGCCAACCACCTCTGCGCTCACTGGAGTATCAAATGGGACTGCCGGATCTGAGTCTCGACAATTGGTGCTTGGTTCAGCTTGGCAGTTTGTTTTTGGGTCATACTTGTGAGGCTTGTATCATTGTTTTTGATCACGGTCACTTATGTGATGGATAATTTGATCTTCCACGCTCGGGCTCTGGCCATTGATCTGGAACAATGTGCATTTGGGGCTCCCTCCCGCGAAACTATTCGATTGGAGTGCTCCAACGAACTGTTTGATCCCTTGGCCATCAATTGCCCTGGCGGTCATGACCACATCCAGCTCAAGGGCAAGGTCACCGACCCAACAACGGCCCAGTGCGTGTTCAAGACCAAGGCAGCTCAGGTCTACCCTTGGGTTTTGTGCGCGGCATTCGCCTCAGTGGTGCATGCTCTTTGGCAGGATCCTTTTCAACATTTACAGGCTTCCTTTCAGTTGGTCACGCCTGCCATGGAAGCGGCAACTGGGCTCCAGCAAGCCGTGGCTTGGCCATCCAACGTGCTCAGTGGGCCGGATATCAGCTCAAGCGTGGTGCAGCCAAGCCGCTCTTGCACATTGAAATGGAACCTGGCCAAGCCATTGAGGCTGCGCTCCATGTGATCCATCCCTTCACTTTGGCGGCTCCTTTGTCAGCCCCTGAGGAGAAAGCCTTACGCGAGCTCCAGCGACCGGCGCATGAAGTTGTTCAACATCGAGGGCATTTGCTCCGCTGTTGGTCACAGATCGCCATTGACCTGCTGCCGCAATCTGTGCAAGCCATTCGCCAGTTACCGGATGCTCCGTGAAGGCCGCTCCTTGGCGGGGCGGATCACGAACAACCAGTTCTTGGTCAGGTTTGCCATGTCGCCTTGTACGCAGCCATGCTCGATGCGTGCCAATCAGTTGACCGTGCTCTGCCTCAGTTGCTCTTGGAAGGCTTTCCCATTGTGGGCGAAATTGCTCGCACAGGCCGTTGGCCGGCCTACGACAAGCCTTAGAAGGATATCCCCGTTCGGGAAGCTCTTGGTAGGGCCTGGGCAATCAGACGGAAGATCATCCAGCGGGTTGCTCATGTCCCTGTCACCGAGAACCTTCAGAAAATTTGGGAGGCCTCAATCGAGGATGTGCAAGAGTGCTCGTGCTTAGGTCCTTTTTCGCAGGAAGCTCAAGTTACTGAGATCCTAGGATGTGAAGATTGGATCCCAACCCAGAGATTTGAAGTCGTTCAAAAGAACAAGGTCAGGGGATGCGATAGTGCAACTACGAACATGATCAACCAGGTCACGAAGATCACTGAGAAGCTTCAGCTCCCCTCAACTGTCACCAATGTGGCGGCGCTGAGGATGTTGAGGTCGATCAAGCCTGATGAAAAGTTGGCAGGCTGGGTGCTCGATGAGCTGAAGGCATACCGACAAGTGGCTGTTCGTCCTGATCACCGCAAGTTCTCGGTCATTTGCCTCAAGAACCCCAAGTCTGGTGCTCCAAATTCTTCATCATGGTTGGCCACTCCTTTGGGCTCGCCTCGTCCAATCGCCGTTCGGCAGCTATCAACGAGTTCCTGCGTGTCATTGTTTGGATTGGTTGGAGTTCAGCTTCTATGATGACAAGTATGGGTTCGAGCTGAAGTCCACGGTGGAGAGCGCTCGCTTCGTGACAGAGAGCGTCCATTTTTTGCTCGGTGCTCGTTTTGATCAGAAGAAGCTGCAACTGTCCGAGGCACCTATGATCTTGGGGGTTACCCACAATCTAGTGGCAATGCAGCTGGAGATCAAAGCCAATCGCAAAGAGGAGATCACCAACGAGATTGACGCCATCCTTGCTTCAGGCCTTTTGGAGCCAGGCTCTGCCGGCAAGCTCAAAGGGAAGCTGATGTTTGGCTCCTCTCAACTTTGGGGAAAAGTCGGTCGTGCTTTCCTGAGAGTTATTTCTGAGAGGCAGTATCTGCGTTTTCCTGTAGGTCATGAGTTTAAACTGGATCCTGCTCTGAAGAAAGCTCTGAGTCATTGGCGTAGGCTCGTTTTGCATGGTCCACCTAGGCCGCTTGAAACTGTTTGAGAGGAGCTCGTAGACGCCGTCGTTTTTACCGATGGTTTCACGCCAGATCCGAGATCGAATCAGCGTGAGCCTGATCGTGTTGGCGCTGTTCTCTTTGATCGTAGGATAGGTAGGCCTAGACAGTTCACAGCAGTCGTTCCTGAACAGCGTGCGACTCAGATTGTTCCAGTTGAAACGATTGCTGCGGTCCTAGCCTTAGAGACTTTTGCCGATCGACTGCGCGGAGCCGATATTTTGTTGCTCATTGACTCTGAGGCGGTCGAAGGCTCCCGTATCAAGGGATACTCTAGTAGCGAAGATCTTTGTGAGCTGATTTCCTGCTTTTCAGTTGAGAGTTCGAGTTTTTATCGATCGAATTTCAACTGATGCCAATCCCGCCGATTGGCCGTCGAGAGACAAGCTGTTCATCGGCAAAGCAATGGATGGGAGACGGTTAATGCTCTATGGCCGCCGTCGCTCTCTCAGTGAGTTGGAGGGCCTGGGTCTGTGACTGAGCTCCATTTTGTGGTTCATTAGCTTTCTTGCTTCAACTTGGTCTGTGAAAGACTCTGCGTATAAGCTGTGAAGTTCGATGAATTGCTGAGCTCTATCCACCCATGATCTCTGAGTTTTTGCTTTTCAGCATTCAATAGATCCAGACTTAACTGCTTTCCCCATGCCCTGAGCAGTGATCAAAAAGGAAGCAGGCGCGTCCGTCAGCGCTCGGGAGTTTCAATTATATTCTGTGTTTATTGATCTATGAAATCCGAAAGTGTAAAAGTGATGTTCATCACGTCGTTGCGCGATTGAGTCGTTCACATATGATCGGCTAGGTAGGTCTGGGATAGGTGTAGGACTCTTACGTTGCATGTTCACACTTTGATTTCTTTATTTATTTTATTCATTGATCAGACAGATTCACAACGGGAGTGATCACCAAGGATGCCAGTCCGATCGTTGGCCATTTTGGCGCGAAGAGCGTGATCAGCCCCAGGCATCATCTCTCCAAAAGCCCGTCCTACCCACCCTGGGTTACTTCGCGTGGCTCAGGGTGTGGTTTGGCCTCCTCGGCATTTTGATTGGCTTGTTTTGGTCAGAAATCAGATGCATTTCCTGACCTCTTTTGGCTGTGTGTGAGTCTGAAGGGGTCTGTGACTGAGCTCCATTTTGTGGTTCATTAGCTTTCTTGCTTTAACTTGGTCTGTGAAAGACTCTGCGTATAAGCTGTGAAGTTCGATGACTTGCTGAGCTCTATCCACCCATGATCTCTGAGTTTTTGCTTGTCAGCATTCAATAGATCCAGACTCAACTGCTTTCCCCATGACCTGAGCAGTGATCAAACAGGAAGCAGGCTCGTCCGTCAGTGCTCGGGGGTTTCAACTATATTCTCTGTTTATTGATCTATGAAATTCGAAAGTGTGAAAGTGATGTTCATCACGTTGTTGCGCGATTGAGTCGGTGGTATGTATGTGTATACGTGTATTATCGTGTATGATATATAATACCTTCTATGTTGCAAAATCATGCAGATACCTAACCAACACTAATGTTGGTTATTAAAATTATACACAAACAAAGGTCATTCACAGCCAACACTGACCCTAAAAAGCATTTGAAGGCGGTTAAGAGTTAGCCTGCTGCTCTAAACACCACCAGAAACCATGGTTTTAGTGGTGGATTTGCGCATATTTGGGACCATAGAATGGGTACTGTATTTCCAGTATTGGGTGGATAGGATAATTTACACACCTTCGCCCCAGCCAGCTATTTTTGGCTTGCTCATGGTTGGGCTTTGACGTGTTCCAGGTCGAAACTGGAGACATCAGGGGACATCGTGAAATCAAGTCTCGTGCGCGGGGCGGCATTGTTTCGTGGATCTTCTGCAGCCATTGTTAAGCCATGCCACATGGTTTTGGCTGGAAACAGGGTATCATCTTCCCCACTCGAATTCAAAGTTTGGGGGTGTACAGGATTTCTGGGCAAACCCATATATTATAGTTAATTATATATAATTTCGAAGTCTTGAGGTTTGAACTGTAAACTGTCTAATTTCATTTAACTCTGCTGTGCACAGCTGCGATGAGTTTTCCCGAGATGTTGGCAACGGTCAAAAAGCGTGACCCAAGAACAGCATCAATGGCTAGGGTTTGCAAGACACAAAATAATCGAACAACCATCAGATTCCCAGGAATGGATCTAAAGCTTTTGCTTGCATACAATGGATCCAAAGATCTTTGGATCCATTCCGGATCTCATACCGCCCATCCAAACAAGTGGATCTCTGAATCTCGTGTTTGCACCTGGCAAAAACTCGATTGCCAGATGCCTTGGGTCATTGCGGAGGCAATTCCCGTACCAAAACTGAAGTGCTGTGTGCACTTCTTGAAGCGACCGCTAGGATTGGTCTCTGCTTGGTCTGGAAGTTGTCTGGAAGTTCGGACAAATGCAGCTGTAAAAAAACATGCTGATTGCAGGCTTTCGACATGCTGATCCCAAACATTGCCCAATCTTTCCTGCACTTCAAGGCACATAAAGTGCTGGTGGATCTGCTGGACCCGTGTCCAAGATGAGCAGATTGCCTCTTTTTTGGGTCGGTGTAGTCTGGCAATGGTCAACCATAGTTCGTTTGGGGCCCAACGTAATCATCTCTGTGCTCCAACATGCTCCAACGTGACCCGCTCAAGGGGCAATCAGTTCACACGTGGACCATGCCCTAACCTCAATGTTTGGTCGGTTTGTTCTCATGCAAATGGTCTCTATCACATGTGGCTTCTGGGATTCCAAAGCAGTAACCGAACATGCCAATGACTAATCAGTTGCAGTAGTGGAATGATGGCGTCAGAAATTCATGAGCCGGAGTCAGCCAGAGGCTGAAAACTCAGGTGTACCACTATGTGTACCACTATTCTTCATATGGGTCAACATTGTCACCATCCAATTTTTTTTTTCTTTAGCCCCATTCCCAGGGCTGCTCCGGAGCTGGAAGAAGAACCCACGGTTCCTTTGGTGAATGGAAAATGGATGTTGAGCTACCTTGGGTTAGAAGTCTTACAGGGATTGAAGTGTAGACAAAACATGATAAAACATGACCTTGTGAATCTTATTTAACTATAAATAGATAAAATCACATATACTTTGTTCCGCTGGATCTTCGCACGCTGCTTCGATTGTCCAGTGCAAGCTGTTTGTTTCCTTTCCATATTTGGTTATCCCATCACCAAGATGATCCTTGACGATCCTTGACCAAGTCAACGCTCATCATCCATGGGGTAAGGGTCAAGAATTGAGAATCCCCGCATATCCCCGCCCCAAAGCCAGTGCCTTTGGCGATCCTTGACATTAAAAAAGCAATTTTTGGGCACCCAATGACTTGCCGACTTGCGCCCCATTCCCACATGCCACTGAAAGACCTTGAAGGATCAGAATTTCGACCAATTTTTTCGGCCCAGTTGGTTGCTGGGAGCTACCAACAAGAAACTCCTGTTCCGATCATAACTTATGATCACCGCTCATTGGGCTCCCAAGTAGCAAGACAGACCTGCTCGAGCGACTCGGGATGACGCCACTGTGCCACGACCTCGAAGAGTCTTGGGATGACGAAATCGATTTGGCTCCACCTGGCTATGTGTCTCTCGCCTCTGATGGTCCAGTGCTACCTCAGAGTAACCTCAGGGTACCTAACAGCCCATGCAGTGCACCAGCTTTGTAAGTCAGCCCGTGGGTCTGGGAAAGTGAAAATTACCCTGATTGGTTTGTATGTCATTTTTTTATTTTCTATTTTTCATCCGACGAAGTATGCCCCCATTGATTTTCATGATTTTCAGGGCTCAACCACCAACCAGTCATGGTGAGACTTAAAATTAAGTTCCAGGAATTTTGTTCAACACCTGGGCACCAAGCGCTTCTTGTTTCGCTTCACTAAACACCCACTTGGCCACCAAGGAATGGCCTGCTGATGGAGTACTGTAACTTCTGTGCGAATCCAAAGACCAGAACCATCGTTGACTGCCGAAAGTGCAAGCAGGTCTACGTGGATATCAATCCACATGAGATGAAATGCATTGATGATCAGAAGGAAGAATTCCAGGCTGGTGTATCTGGTGTCAGATGCAGTGAGTGTTTTGGTTGTTTCAAGAACTGGTGAAGCTGCTGGAAATCCACTTGGCCAAATAATTGCTCCCTTCAAATATTGTAGCAGCATTGTAGCATTTTGGCTGGGCCGGCTGGATCTTTGTTGTGGGCCCAAAACTTGAATTCCTGTCCCTTTTTCAAGATTTTGGCAGGGTAAAAATGCGTTTCCGGAGGACATTTCAGTAACATCAGAAAACCCAACACGTTTTGAGCCGTAAAAACCGGTGGTTTCATGTCATTTTCTCAAATGACAATTCCTTGAGAGGTGATTTTGATGGTGAAGTTCTGGTGGTTGGATCCTGATCTGAAGAATCTCCTCTGCCGTGTACGACTGGATGACCAGCACGGGGAGCTGATTGGGACGTTGCAGCAGCTGACGAGCAACGGAGATCTGCAGCTGAGGTCCAAGGATGGGCGAGTTTGGACATTGCTGCGAGGTACCAGGGATTTGAAGCAAGAGGTTTTCTGGGGTCAAGCCAGAAACGTAAACCTGGAACTTTGATGAACTGGGGATGGTTGAACTCTATGCATGTCTGGTAAAATTGGGGCGATGGGTTTCCTGCCGCTGCCTGGGGATTTCAGGATGTGGGGTGGTTCCATTTGCATCCATTTGCCCAAAGCCATCTGGCCGCAGATCCCAGTTCCATTTGCCCAAAACCAACTGGCAAATTGATCCCATTTTCGTACATTTTCGTTGATTCAGGTGACTACCAAAGCAAGATCATTGAAGGACCCGAGATGCAGAAGCGTTTCTTTCCACACTTCACCCTTGGCAACATCCAAGGAGCAAGATGGTTCTGTCCGATCCAAAACGGGTGGAGCCTAAACCAGGGCTGGACCCAGTAGACCTTCAAGTCGCCTCTCCTGGCGATTGAGGCACTGTTTCGATAGAGACATGAACTTGTGGCACCACTTTTGATTCTGATCTTCATGCATTATCATCATTCTTGTTATGTTATTCTTGTGATTATTATATATATATATATTGTTATTCTTATTACCATCAGGATCCGCTATTCTTCCAGTTGTGCCCGTGCTCCATTTTCAGCTGACGTCTGTGTGGCTCCTCAGGAGAAGCAACGGAACTCCTTCAGCGCTATGACTTTCTGTGGAGCCATGAAGAGATTGGTACCTTCGTGGCTCGCTGTGATCTTTTGAAGATCCACCTGAAGGGATTTCATGGAGGAAACAGATGGCTTTTGAAGATGGCTGTCTGGTAATCCAACTGACCTCATTACCTAGTGATGTGACAAAAAAAGGCGGATTTGGACGGCCATGTTTTGTTGGGCCAAGGGTGTAACACCCTGTTCGTTTTGCTGGTCATCTTACTATGTTGGGTGGATAAGATGGCCGCATGACCATGTCCAGGGAGTGGAAGGGTAAGTGGATCAGGATTTACAATGGGCCCTCTGGCATTCTAAAGCTGGCAGCTGGCAACAGGCAATCCCCACACGACGCATTTCCGCATGATAGCGAAATATAAACCTAGGCTGGGGTTCATCAAACATGTCTTGAAGCTTCGGAAAGGGATTGGTGTATTTATGCCTGAAACTTATGGACGCACAAGTTGATAGGCAGGAAATCCTATTTCTAAACCTTTCCCTGCCTATCCACCTATATACCAGTAATGTGTCATTGACCATTTGGTGATACTGCTTTCAACCCTAGGGTCATCAACAATTCTCGCAGTCATTCACCATTTGAGACGGGTGGCTCCAGCCATATTCCTACCATTTTTTGCTGGTTAAACCAATTTTGTTGATATATCTGAACTTATACCTATGAACCCATCAAAAACCTCCAAGATTTTCCATAAAGTGTCAACTCACATGTGTCCGCGAAAGTGACAACTGAGCTCGCGAAAGGTCCGCGAAACCTGCGTGAAAGGCTGTGAAAGGGTAAAAACCAGAGATCCCCGTGAAAGCCAAACTGCAAGCGGCGTGTTGACGTCGTGATAGGATTGGCGAAATCACCTTGGGAATCAAGCCCCTACGACGTATGGCATTTGTCTCCATTGAACAACGAATCAAGCGGAGTGTTGAAACTGCGTTCACTGCCTAGGTCTCCTGGGAGCAGAAGATCGATGCCATCTTTGCTGAGAGTTTGGAGCTTCAGAACTTCCCCCTGGATCGACAGTTGTGTCGGGTGAAGCTCATTGCGGAAAAACCCATTGAGGACCTCTACCGGTTGAGGATATGAATTACCTTCTGGCAATCAAACATTGTGTGGTGGAAATCCACCACTTAGTTCGATGATTTTCCCATTCAAATTCCAGTTCATGATTGTTTACCGGAGGTAAATTTGATGATCCATAGTTCAATTCCCGTGGAAGCAATAATCACGTGCTGAGTTGAGAAATTAGATTGATAGCCATAGATAACATATGATTAATGACCGGAGCCACCATGCATTTTAGCTCGATTCGTGAAACTTTTGGAAAGACCACATCGGCTTTAGAACATCATATTCCCGAATAAGCTTGCCAGAGTTTCAGACAAACCCATATCCTTGTTCCCGCTGGTTGTTTGATTGACTTGAAGAATTGTATTTATAGATCAGTCATCTAATCGAACCCAGTAATCAATTAGATATGTTTGATGTCATCAATCTCATTTGATCGACCGGATGCCCCGTTTTTTTTGGGGATCAATGAAGGGTCGGATGATAACACGGATTTTCAGAGAGGGTTTCCCGCCTTGGATTATGGTGGGGACACAGTGGAGAAACCCAAGGGATACCAAAAGCAAAACCGGGGGGAATCAAAAGCCAGTCCCGGAGAACTTTGAGGACGACTACTGCGAGCTCCTGAAAAGTTGAGTGCTGATCTGGTGGATATACCCATATATATATAATATACACATACATACATACATACATACATACAGATACATACACATACATACAGATACATACAGATACATACAGATACATACAGATACATACAGATACATACAGATACATACAGATACATACAGATACATACAGATACATACAGATACATACAGATACATACAGAAACATACAGATACATACAGATACATACAGATACATACAGATACATACAGATACATACAGATACATACAGATACATACAGATACATACAGATACATACAGATACATACAGATACATACATACACATACATACATATACATACATACATACATAGATACATACATAGATACATACATAGATACATAGATACATAGATACATAGATACATACATACATACATACATACATACATACATACATACATATATATATATATATATGCATAGATATTAGATAATTAGAGAAAAGTTCTTGGTCTTTGATCCCAACTTTTGGGGCTTACCGAATCATACTTGGACCATAGCCAAAAAGCCATACGCCCCAGCGCACCAAGTGGTGCGGTGAGGAGTTTCAGTTCGTGATGATGAAGAAAGACTACCCGTCCCGATTTAGCCGCGTCTGTGACACTTTCGATGTGGCATCTTGCCTTAGTTTACAACGCAAGCTGTGGACAATGGAGACCATCCGGAAGTCCAGCAGTCCTCATTTGAAGTATCCGTTGTGTGCTATCTGTGCATCTTTCTTTACCGTTTCGGCATACCTGTGTCAACCTGGGAAGTTCGCTTTTTACTTTTGGGGTGGGGATTGCAACCTGCCAGGGAACCCAGAGGCAACACTTTCTCGCGTTTCTTTTTCCAACCTATCTAAAGTTCAAACAGATCCAGACCGTCTGGGCTCAGAATTATCACCAAAAAGCAGCAAACATATCCATTAAATCATTGGACTCCCCAAAAACGATCCAAAAGCATGCCATCTCCAAGTTAAATCAACTTAAGTTTACCGTTTACCCATCTTTCCCCCATCTTTCCCCATCTTGGTTGTTTCCCCGTCTTTCCCACTGAAAAAGGATCTGGGGATGCAGCAGCTCTGCACGGCCTACGTGCGCTACAGCGACCTGGAAGTGCCCTTTCGGACGCAACGCTCCATGGTGAAGGTGATCTTCCACTTGGATCGGAAAGGCCTGGACACCACAAATCCCTCAAAGAATTGGAGGCTAGGGCCATGGTTTCCCATTTCTGCTGACCTTTTCAAAGGATGGTCTAGATGGTCTATGGTTTAAGGTGATCTTCCAATGGATTGGGGGTTCTATGAATTGAACATCGCGAAGTGGTGGTTGGTTATGAAATAGAGGGGTGATTGACCCACTTGGTTTATTGGGGATTCATATAATAATAGGGATACCTATCAACCCAGCATACCAAGCAGGACAGTGAGATAGGATAAGGGTCATAGCAGCCGCAAAATTTGGATAGAACAGTTGGAGAGCTGGGAATGACAGGTGGTGTAAAGAAATCATTCATACCATCCTGGAAGAACATTTCTATTTTTTTTGGGAACCCTTATATACAACTTGGGGTCATATGAATCCGTAGGTCCGGAGAAGAGTGTATATATGGATTGATGGTGGATGGGGTGCATAACATTGCAGAACCCCGCAGAATTGCCGGGGGTAGGTTGACCATATATACATTAGCTGTTTATAACATGAAAATTGGAAATGGACAATGGATATGGACATTGGATACAGAACATTTTCAACCAAGCATGATTCATGGGACATTTCCTGGGATATGGGAATCTGATATGATATTTGAAGGGCTATTTGCTGGCGGTGGAAATGAATACGGGAAAGTGGCTTGGACAACTGTGGACCTGTGGATGATGGATGTTTTTTGGGGCCCCAAAAGTCTGGATGCTTTGGAGGAGTCAACTGAATGGAAGGAATGGGTGTTCTTTTTTTTGGTCAAAGAATTTGCGGAGAATTTGAGGCAGGTCTTCTTTGAAGAGCGGCACCTCACGTCATGCGGGAATTGGAAAGATCTGAAAGTGGTGGTTGGCTGCAAGTGGTAAGGATTCCCCTAAAAAAGGATCTCATAGTTCGTCTTTTTTTGGCAAAAATAACATCAGAAAGTTGGCATGGGAAGAACCTTGGTTTTTTCAGGCGATTATTACTTCAACAATATTCTGATGATGGTCTTTTTGGTGCCTTGCTCAGCATTTGCAGCCAAGGTGGCCACGGCAAGGTGTCCAGAAATGGGTATAGCTTTGGAGGACCATAAAGGCAGTGGCAAATGTCCATGTCTTTTTTTTCCTCGGATTCAAGCCACCTATGTTGAAAGCACAGATTGTGGTCCTTGCTCGTCTGATTTTAGTTGGTGTCTCCAAAAAGTCCTCGCTGTATCAACAGCAGAGGATAAACTCAGAGGATCAACTCAGTGACACGCAGATAACCCAGTGAAATTTCCCCCCTTTGAAGCGACCAAAAAACTCATCAATGGGTCATTTCCGAGTCAGAAGCATGACCTAATTTCATCAAAAAACTCACCATTGATCAAGCGACTGTCGAATTTCACCATTGATCAAGCGACCATTGTGTTGCTGGCAACCATGGAATTCCGGGATTTCAACGACTGGTGGATTTGGAGCTGAGGTGAACGTCATGGCATTATGCGCCTTTGGGGTACCTCTGAAGGATGCTGGTGGTCGCTTGGGACTGGCATCTTGGCTGGGCATGGTGGATGACCTGGATAATATGATAATCATGGTGGTTAAATATGGGTATGGATCAATACCTATTAATACCATTTTTAGATTTTGATGTGAACTACAGGGGTACTATTGGTTTTGACACACTGCCATATATGATAATATGAAATATCTTGAATGATGGTGGAAGTTGAATGATGATGGGATGTGCCCTTTGAGTTTTTCTGAAGCGATTGGCGACCTGGTGTAGGCATGATCGACCGGGGAGTTGACCCCGGGGTTCCCGGGTGTCCTGGGCCCCTTGCCGGCAGTGAGGTGAGTTCCTGCTTCCTGGCAGTTCTGGCATATCGCTACATCATCAACGAGATCCTACCGAAGAAGGCATATCTCACCGCTGCTGACAAATACATCACCTTTGCCTGCATGCTCTGTGGCGGCAGTGGTATGGCTGGATGTGTTCGGTGGTCCTGATGGAAAAGGAACCTCCGTATTCCCCACCAGCTAGTGGCGAAACTGGTAACTAGTGGAGGGTTTTAAAACTCAGTTGCAGATTTTTTCAGAAGACCGTAGAAGCCAGAGACTTTGGTTCTTCTCGGTTTTTAGCATCTCGATATGTTGGGCATTTGGCACTCTTGAGGAGGTTAAAGATTGGTTCCCTGCAACTGTCACCGACTATGGCTACCTCACCCAATATTCGGATGGTTATCTCCCAATGTTTGGATGGTTATTTACTGCATCCATACCTTCTGCTCAAGATATCCTGGTCACAATCGCATCTTCATTGGAGCTGGACCTGGTTGAATGTCCAAGAAACATCTATTGAGTTTGCTTGTGAGTAGCAGGTATTGTTTGCTTGGACCCAACAAGAATGTGATATAAAGCCAATGATAGTTGTTACATTGTTTCAACCCAACCAACTGATTAACTGATTTGCATTTGATACAATGCGATAAACCCAATAGTCAACCATGCTCAATTTCACCATTTTTTGTGGTATATATATAATATATACATATCCTCCAAAATTAGAGGTTTATGGTATTGGGTTTACCACAGTACAAATATAAACTGTGTAAACCTGATCATCCGATTATAATATGTGATATGCCCTTCTTGGTGGCATTGTTGGGGATTTGCATGAATCATGGAGATCTTCTTTGTATCTATTGTTGCCATAAATCATAATGCTGGATGTTGAATCATTGGATATGCAGCTGCTATCCACAATTGTCATTCAATTCCCAGCCGCTTTGGCTCTATCGTTTTTTAGTAGCCAGCCATGTTTGGTACTGGAGGGTAAAACAAATTGGTATACCCGCCCACGATTTCACATATGAAAAATTGCCATTTAGATCGATGATTTGCCTATCAGAAATGGTGAGAACTTCCATAGCTATGTAACAAATTACCAGAGGGTAAATCTAGTTTCATCCCCATTTTTGCTGGGTATATCCCAATGAACATCCAATAAAACATCCATGAAAGTACCTTAAACATATATAGTCCATTGATATCCCCAAATCAGAGGGTATCGGTGTATCAAAAAGTGTAGCAATCCCCAAACAGATAGAAGTTGGTAAATCCGTTCCTAAAATAGTGATATATAAATGACTTTTAAGCATCTTTTCGAGGATTAGCTTAACCCATTATTATCCGATTAAATATTCATTAATCATAGACATACACATGATTAACCCATTCGTTAATGATTATATTCCATTAATAATGTACCTATATATTTGAACGAATTACTGAAACTTAATCATTGATAGGTAATCTTTTTTTTGGGCTACCATATATCCATTATTATCCACTAGTTATATCCCGCTAATCATTGATAAACAACTGCTGATAGTTTTCCCATTACATGTTCAGGACCATATTAGATATCTATAACCCATTATTTTCCCCCAATACATATCTATTGATTAAATATCCCATTCATGATCCGCAAAAGCTCAATTTGACAGTGATCCCATTCATGATATTAATCGTTGAGAGATATATATATACACATATGTATATAAATGTGTATATATATATATATGTATAGTATTTTTTGCAGAAATAGTTCCATTTGATAGTTATATCCCATCCATGATCTGCAGCATCCAGGTTCCTGATCCTGATCTGCGTCCAGACCGTCACCTTTGCGCACGCGGCCCTCGACGCCTACGATGCCATTGCCGGAATGGTGCTGAGCCTGGGATGGGTGGCCATCAATGGGTACCTGGGCTGAGGTGTAGCCTCTGGTTATGACTAACATAGCCATGGTTATTTATCCCAACCATAAATGAAGGTTTCTAGCTGGGAAAATCATCTATAAAGGGGGGCAATTGTCCATGGCTATGTTAAATAACCAGAGGGTAATATATATATATTTATCAGAATGGAGGATCATGGGGGGTGAAGGCGTGCACATTGTAGAAACGCGCGTATGTTTTGCACTGTCTGCTTAAAATCATCCTGTCTGCTGATCTGCTTCCATTCCTGGAGCTTAGATCTATCCCAAACTCTCATACAAACAATCCAAATTCTGAAAGAGGAAACAACTGCTCCAAAACCCATGGAAAAACAGAAAGCAAACAAAAAAAAATCACCCCATGTCACCTGTCCAGCTTCCCCTCAGGCCCTCTCCATGGGTCGAAACTTTTTTTTTGTTTTTTTTTCCCCACAACTTTGTGTGGGGTTCTTGTTTTTGATTCTGTATCCCGGTGCTCCCCGCCTCCTCCTCCTCCCGCCCCTCCTCCCACATACAACTTTGTCCATCTTTCACACACAACTTCCCCACACACCATCTTTCACCCACCTCTCTCACACACAACTTTGTCACACACCATCTTTCACACAACTTTGTGACACACCATCTTTCACACACAACCTCTCACACACAACTTTGTCACACACCAACTTTCACACACAACTTTGTCACACACCATCTTTCACACACAACTTTGTCACACACCATCTTTCACACACAACTTTGTCACACACCATCTTTCACACACAACTTTGTCACACACCATCTTTCACACACAACTTTGTCACACACCATCTTTCACACACAACTTTCCCACACACCATCTTTCACACACCTCTCTCACACACAACTTTGTCACACACCATCTTTCACACACAACTTTGCCGCTCTCACACACAACTTTGTCACACACCAACTTTCACACACAACTTTGTCACACACCATCTTTCACACACAACTTTGTCACACACCATCTTTCACACACAACTTTCCCACACACCATCTTTCACACACCTCTCTCACACACCAACTTTGTCACACACATCCACCTTCATTTCACGTGGCAGGCGTGGCACAAACTCACATCCACCTTAGTTTTGCGTGGCAGGCGTGGCACTTATGTGACTAGGTGGCGCGCTTGGTCCGGATTTGTCGCCTGTGACGCCGCTGCCCTTTGGTGGCAGGCGTGGCACTTGGTGACATCCACCTTCATTTCACGTGGCAGCCGTGGCACAAACTCACATCCACCTTCGTTTTGCGTGGCAGGCGTGGCACTTATGGCATTGGGTGGCGCGCTTGGTCCGGATTTGTCGCCTGTGCCGCCGCGGCCCTTTGCGTGGCAGGCGTGGCATTTGGTGACATCCACATTCATTTCACGTGGCAGGCATGGCACAAACTCACATCCAACTTGGCACGCGTGGCACAAACTCACATCCACCTTGGTTTTGCGTGGCAGGCGTGGATCCACATCCATTTCACGTGGCAGGCGTGGCACAAACTCGCATCCACCGTCGTTTTGCGTGGCAGGCGTGCCAGTTATGGCATACCTTCGTTTTGCGTGGCAGGCGTGGCACTTATGTGACTAGGTGGCGCGCTTGGTCCGGGTTTGTCGCCTGTGACGCCGCTGCCCTTTGTGTGGCAGGCGTGGCACTTGGTGACATCCACCTTCATTTCACATGGCAGGCGTGGCACAAACTCACATCCACCTTCGTTTTGCGTGGCAGGCGTGGCACTTATGTGACTAGGTGGCGCGCTTGGTCCGGATTTGTCGCCTGTGACGCCGCGGCCCTTTGCGTGGCAGGCGTGGCATTTGGTGACATCCACATTCATTTCACGTGGCAGGCGTCGCACAAACTCACATCCAACTTCGTTTTGCGTGGCAGGCGTGGCACTTATGGCATTGGGTGGCGGGCTTGGTCCGGATTTGTCGCCCGTGACGCCGCGGCCCTTTGGCAGGCGTGGCATTTGGTGACATCCACCTTCATTTCACACATCCCCCTTCGTTTTGCGTGGCAGGCGTGGCACTTATGGCATTGGGTGGCGCGTTTGGTCCGGATTTGTCGCCTGTGACGCCGCGGCTGTGTGCGTGGCAGGCGTGTTACTTGGTGACATCCACCTTCATTTCACGTGGCAGGCGTGGCACAAACTCACATCCACCGTCGTTTTGCATGGCAGGCGTGGCACTTATGGCATACCTTCGTTTTGCGTGGCAGGCGTGCCACTTATGGGACTGGGTGGCGCGCTTGGTCCGGATTTGTCGCCTGTGACGCCGCTGCCCTTTGTGTGGCACTTGGTGACATCCACGTTCATTTCACGTGGCAGGCGTGGCGCAAACTCACATCCACCTTTGCGTGGCAGGCGTGGCACTTATGGCATACCTTGGTTTTGCGTGGCAGGCGTGGCACTTGTGGGACTGGGTGGCGCGCTTGGTCCGGATTTGTCGCCTGTGACGCCGCTGCCCTTTGGTGGCAGGCGTGGCACTTGGTGACATCCACCTTCATTCACGTGGCAGGCGTGGCACAAACTCACATCCACCGTCGTTTTGCGTGGCAGGCTTGGCACTTATGGCATACGTTCGTTTTGCGTGGCATGCGTGGCACAGGCGTGGCACGAACTCACATCCACCTTCGTTTTGCGTGGCAGGCGTGGCACAAACTCACAACGTCGCTTTGGTTCAAATTCATGTTTCGTTTGCCGCCGTTTTTACCGAGCTGCGTCTCTGGCCTGTTTTGGAATGAAATTCCTGTTTGCTTTTCTTGCCTGTTTTGGCATGTTTGCTTTCTGGCATGTTTACTTGCTTGCTTCTTTTGGCCTGCTTCATTTCCAGTCACATTTGCGGCCAGGTGGTTGTCTTCTTTGTGGTCGCTACGACAGGCAGGGCCCATTGCATGTAGAGTCTCCTCATGTTGTTATTGTATTAGTCGCTTTGGCCCAACAAGAAGTTGTGGACACCTATGTGAATGTTCGCGACGCCTGTGTGTTTCTGAACTTTGTGGTTGCTTAGTTGCTTGACATCTTTGGAAAAACCTGCGCAGTTAGCGTCATAACCATGGTGCTTGCCACTGTGACTGTGTCGTGCCTTGACAGGCATGCGCTCTGTACTTGTCTTCCATAGTTGCATTGACAACCAGCTACATTCGTGTTCTACACTTTTGCGGCCAGGTACCTTTTCTCTATGTCATCATCGTCGGATTCGTGGTTGTAGGACAGGAGCGGCTGTCACGTAGCACATCTCGTTGCACCGCATGGAGCACAGAAGATCATGGAACACCTCATTCAGCCGATTCCAGGTCCGCAGTGCTGCCGCATGCAGAGCAGCTGACATTGCAGCGCTGGCGAAAAAAATGGTCTGCACTGTCGCGCACACACATCATCTTTCACACGCAGCATCTTTCACACGCAACTTTGTCACACACATACAACTACATACATACATACGCACGTACGTACGTACGTACATACAGATACATACAGATACATACAGATACATACAGATACATACAGATACATACAGATACATACAGATACATACATACATACATACATACATACCTGCCGTTTTACCTTCTCGATCTTTCACCACCTCGTTTGTCTTTCCTGTCTTTCCTTCCTTCCCTGTCCCCGCTAAAACCATTGAAACTCATTATTGGAAGAAGTTGACTTGTGGGGTTGTCCGGTCCTTTAATTTGTTTTCTCGAGGTTTTTGCCATCTTGGCCCAAAAATGCTCCAAAACTTTTTTTTGTTGTTTTTGTTTCTTTGGTTTTCTTGAGGTTTTTGCAACTGCGTCAGTCCAAACAACATCAGTTGCTCATTTTTTTGTGTTTTTTGTTTTCCTGTTTCTTGGGCTCCTGGGAGAAATTTTCACCCTGACAAACATCCATTGGCACAGCTTTCACCCCTCCACATTTTATATTGATGTCTTCATTGAATTGGTGATTTTGGCTACTGAGCCATCAGAGAAAATGTACAGTAAAAACAGCTCTATCACCCACCTCTTCAGGCACTCCATTGGACTGATGTTTTATTGGTATGCCGAGGTTTTGGTTCCTCATGTTTAAAGGTTTGGCTCGTGTTCTTCAAACCTGGAATCACTAAAAGTGATATCTAACATAAATCATCTATTTTTCAAAAATGGATTGTTTAAGCAACACTTTGTTGTACAAAAATATATGTTTGTCTCAAAGTGTTTGCTCCTTCAAAAAGGCAATATTGTATCCCTCACGACAAGATTCCTCTAGAGAAGAATGTTGTTTTCCTTTGGAAGAAGCAGATACTATTTTGTAGAATGCCACATGATTCTTCTTGGCAACTCTTGCATGCCACAGATACAGCATTTCTTGAAGAAATGTTGGTATTCCTTTAAACAGACATGTTCACTTTAAATTTTAAGGGTTCAATTTTTCATTGTACAGTGTAATAGGTTGAAAGAAGCAACATTCTTGTAGTCATGCATTATATCTTGAAAAACACTAGTCTAAGATGTACTAGTCTTTCAAACAACATGTATGGTTGAAATATACAATATTTTCAACGCGAATCTTTCCTCCTCCCACTAGTCAGACATCACTCCCACAAAAATGAGCAATATGCCATTCAAGGATGCAATACCCCTAGCAGGAAGTGTACAGCCTATAGCTGGAGAATACAATCAAATTTTGTTCAATACAGCCTACAGCCCATTATCTCCTTTGAAAGGGGCAGCAATTGTGCAGAGCATGCAATAAATCTTTCAAACACGTGCTTGTATTTTTACATCTTCACAAAGGTAACAGTACACAATTCACTGCAGAAAGCAGAGTTGTTTTCAAGATGCATGATCTTCTCAAAAAAACTTGTTCAAGATACAGCAATCTTTTCAGGAAGTACATTTTTCTCAAGTTTCAGTTGCGCTTTCATGTACAAAGTGTATTGATTCCCTGCAAGTGTGTTACTGTTTTTTCAACAAGGCAGCGCTTTTAAGGCAAAATATAGATGATGCCTTGAAACGGTCTAGATTCAATCGTAGTTAAACCATCTTTTGAAGAAGTGCATGTTCAATCTGGACATTTTCTTTTTTGAAAAACACTCATGAACAGCATGAAAGGGTGCAGAACACTTTTCAGAAAATGCAGAAATTGCAGCTGGAAATTGCACTCATGTATGTTCAATATCAAATACATATTTATCGAGAAACATAAACTATTGTGAAAAAAAAGAAATTTGTCACATAGTGTATATATATATAATATATATATATATGTACATATGGTAATATGTACAACAATATAATACAAAATCATTGCAGGCATCAAAATCATTGTATATAGACATTTTTTCTTTTCCAAAATGCTAAGCAAAAATAAAGCATTCTTGGAAAGAGACAGCATCTGTGCATAGTATTCTAGACAGTCGTGATTTGTGGCTTCATGTGCAAACCATTTTCATATATCAAACAAAATCTGCAAAATCAATACTTTCACCACTCCACCCCCCACGGTAGTCCGCTCTCATATTTATATACTGTATATGTATTAATATGATATGATAATTATTATGATATGATATGATATGATATGATATGATATGATGTGATAGTTGATAATTGATAATTGATAATTGATAATTGATATTTGATATGATATGATTATATCTGTACACATTATATTGTATATATACACACACATACATAGTCAACAATTTTGGGGATTTGGCCCCAAGCTAGGGCCATTTCAATGGGACACGTGAGATTTGTCAAACACAAAAATCGGGAAGCAACATGATGTGACCAGCCTTTTGGACCTGGTTGGAATGGTTTCTGCCAACAAATTGGGTCAAACTTTCGGAATCCATGCCATTCCTATCCCATCTGTTATGACCATTTCAGGAGTTTCATATTTCTGGTCAGATCGCTGAAAAAAGTCTTTAGTTCGCCATTTTCACCATGGGACCATGTTCTGCAGTCATTTGATCAGAGAAATCCAGTCGCGGAGAGATGGTGGGTATCCCTCTGTTGTTTGAGATGGAACCAATGGACATCTCGGAGAGGATTCTCCCAGAAACAGCTCGGAGTGTTTAGCGAGCCTCCAAATGGGGGAGCTGCTGGTAGCTGCTGGTAGCTTCATTTTCAACACTGGCAACCGAGAAACTGACCCTTTTTCTCCCTTGAAAAATCATAGTTTCAGCCCATCGTAAGGTGATTTTCATTTCCGACCTCCGCAAAAAAATCCCTAGGTATCTCTGGCGCCTTTGGAAATTCTCCAGACGGCAAGAGTGGAGCTCAGTCTATGAGCAGAATCAAGAGCCTTACGCTCCAGTCGAGGACCGGGTGCAGGACAAATCATCATGGCCATTTTTTGGTTTAGGTGAAGGCGGAAAGATGCGGGGGATAGTTTCCCTTGAATACAGTTAAGATAAGACACTCTACATATTTGTAGCCCTCGAATCGAACCCTCCAGTCCAGTGCTTCCCCTGAGGAATGCACAGCTTGCGATCGTCGATGGCTCTCCAAACAGTGCCTCCACAGCATGGAGACGCAGAACTGTCCACAGTGTCACGACAAGTCTTCGGTGCTCAAGAGCTACTGGACCCCCAAAGATCTTCCGCCTTTGGTTCCGCCGCAAGCATTGCCAGAAGGACCGAAGATTTTCAGGGCGAATCAGGGTGCAACCACCAATGGATATGGAACCTGGAGCTGACAGTTGGCTGAAGGGATTCCATTTGCAGATGGAAGGATGTGAAAAACCTGGGATTTTCGTAGAACCCAAGCGAGGATTGCAAAAGTGCGTCCCGCGTTGAATCAGTGAATTCGGATTCTGCAACTGCATAGCTGGCATAACTCACTTGTGCCTCCTAAGCTGGAGGGGGTGAGTCTTGTGTTTCAAGGAATTCAATGCTTTATTTTGGTGTGTCTCAAGAGCGAGGAATAAGACAGATGATTCTACTGGATGGTGCATGAATTATGATAGGATGGCATCTTCTGTTTGAGACACACCCGCGTAAAACACAGCGAATCGTAAGACGATTCCAAGCTTGTGAACCACGAAGATGCTTCGGGAGTGGTTTAGCCGGTCGAAGCTTGTTTGCATGGCCACTGTGCTCCGCAGTCTGGACAAATGTAGTCCCGGCATACTCAAGACGGCACATGGTATATCCTGGTATATCCTGGTCTGTCAATATCCGAATCCTTCCTAACCGACCAAGAATGTCTCCGGGTTTTCCCTCTGGTCACCTAGAAGTTGGGCCTCGAAATCCGTCTCTTGTAGTTGTACGAGTCCACTGGGTTTGGTCCCCATCTTGGGATCAAGATCATCTAGTTCGTTTTCTTCTGGTCCTAGAATCTTATGTTGACATAGTTGACATTGCTATTTCTTGAGCACATAGAGCACATATTCCTACTGATGGCTTAGATATGCTTAGATCATATCGGCTTTAGTGAGGGCACACAGCATTTCACCTGGTGGAAAACCAGAATCAAGCCGATGCAGCCTTTGTGATCACTGGACGATGAGTTTGCTTTCCGGATGATTTGTTGGCAGCGTCCAAATTACTTAATGAGTCTGTGGCAGAGTATCACCTATATATCTATATCTATATCCATATCTATGTCTATATCTATATCTATATCTATATAATATATATTGAAAGCTGTAAATCATGTAGCTGGCCACCCACTCAAGCTGCACAAATGCACACTCTTGAAATAAGACATTTTTGGCCCATTCAAGAGATGGATGTCACAAGGCTTTGGGTATTGAACTGGCAAGTCTGAGGGGCTCCATCATACATTTGGGATTTGCCATGTATCATATTTAAGATACACACTGCATGTATATGTATGTATATCTTCCATACATAATTTGATGTCTATGTATATATGCATATATGTATATATATATATATGCATTTTGTATATATATATATATACACATACATATCTAAATAAACACATATTCCCATATTCGAGATGGTTGGCTCGAGTGACGTGCGCCAACCCTTGTATCGGTCATGGAGGAAGCGAATGGAGATCATGCGGATGCTCGGAACAACCCCCCCATAGAGTTCACCTTTAGTTTACCCAATGATTTTGGCATCAGCTGTTTCCTTGATTTTTGTTGGTTAAATATTCATTAATCTTCGTTTACTTCCTATTTTTGACCAGGAAACCTGCTGCAAATACCATTTGAGAAGGTGTTTGGACCCCAAAATCAAGCGCACATGTAGGGATCTGATGAGGTTTACATATCACCAAAGATGTGTTCAGGATTTAACCATTTGGGTTTATCCAGATGTGACGATTTCACCTGGATGCATCCCAACTTACAGCCATTTCGATGGGAAAGCCGGCACCAGAATCCAGCGGAACAAGTTACCCCTTGTTCCGATGAGATCCGACTGGGGACTCCGGATGCCGCGCGCCAGATGTGGTTTAAGGGGCGATTTACAACGACATTTGGATGATGTTTTACCATGCCCCCGGGGTTGGAAGACTGACCATTTTGGTGACCTATGATGTTCCCGCCAATCCATTGACTTTGAGGATGACGCAACCTGGGTGTTGACCAGCAGCTTTGTAATTTTAACCATGCAGAGCGGCTTCGCCATGTTGGAAATGGGCACTTGCTCCAAGGGCAACGATGCTTGGCCTGTTTAATTGCCTGCGGCAAGCCCGCCGGCCATAGCCATGTGGTTCATTACATGAGCCTTCGGCGTAGTCGCAGACCGTGGCCTCGACCAAAACAAGGCCAGTGTGTGTGTAAAAGCTTTTGTGTGTCAAAGGTTCTGTGTGTAAAAGCCTCTGTGTGTAAAAGGTTCTGTGTGTAAAAGCTTTTGTGTGTAAAAGCTTTTGTGTGTAAAAGGTTCTGTGTGTAAAAGCCTCCATGTGTAAAAGCTTCTGTGTGTAAAAGCTTCTGTGTGTAAAAGCTTCTGCGTGTAAAAGCTTCTGTGTGTAAAAGCTTCTGTGGGTAAAAGCTTCTGTGTGTAAAGGCTTCTGTGTGTAAAAGCTTCCGTGTGTGAAAGTGTCTGTGTGTAGAAGCTTCTGTGTGTAAAAGCTTGTATGTGTAACAGCTGCTGTGTGTAAAAGCTTCTTTGTGTAAAAGCTTCTGTGTGTGAAAGCTTCTGTGTGTAAAAGCTTCTATGTGTAACAGCTGCTGTGTGTAAAAGCTTCTTTGTGTAAAAGCTTCTGTGTGTGAAAGCTTGTGCGTGTAAAAGCTTTTGTGTGTAAATGCTTTTGTGTGTCAAAGGTTCTGTGTGGAAAAGCTTCTGCGTGCAAAACCCTCTGTGTGTAAATGCTTCTGTGTGTAAAAGCTTCTGTGCGCAAAAGCGCCTGTGTGTGTAAAAGTGCCTCTGCGTAACGGCGTCAGTGCGTAAAAGGGTCTGTGTGTGAAAGTGTCTGTCTGTAAAAGCTTCTGTGTGTGAAAGCTTCTGTGTGTAAAAGCTTCTATGTGTAACAGCTGCTGTGTGTAAAAGTGTCTGTGTGTAAAAGTGTCTGTGAGTAAAAGCCTCTGTGTTTAAAAGCTTCGGTGTGTAAAAGCTTCTGCGTGTAAAAGCTTCTGTGTGTAAAAGCTTCTGCGTGTAAAAGCTTTTGTGTCTTCTGCGTGTAAAAGCTTCTGTGTGCAAAAGGTTCTGTGTGTAAAAGCGTCTGTGTGTAAAAGCGTCTGTGTGTAAAAGGTTCTGTGTGTAAAAGCTTCTGTGTGTAAAAGCTTCCGTGTGTGAAAGTGTCTGTGTGTAGAAGCTTCTGTGTGTAAAAGTGTCTGTAAGTAAAAGCCTCTGTGTGCTGTTTGCAAAAGGTTCTGTGTGTAAAAGCGTCTGTGTGTAAAAACGTCTGTGTGTAAAAGCCTCTGTGTGTAAAAGGTTCTGTGTATAAAAGCTTGTGTGTGTAAAAGCGCCTGTGTGTGAAAGCGCCTGTGTGTAAAAGTGTCTGTGTGTAAAAGCTTCTGTCTGAAAAAGCTTTGGTGTGTAAAAGCGTCCGTGTGTAAAAGCTTCTGTGTGTAACAGCTTTTGTGTGTAAAAGCGTCTGTGTGTAAAAGCGTCTGTGTGTAAAAGGTTTTGTGTGTAAAAGTGCCTGTGAGTAAAAGCCGCTGTGCGTAAAAGCCTCTGTGTGTGAAAGTGTGTGTGTGTGTTTGTAAAAGCATCTGTGTGTAAAAGCTTCTGTGTGTCAAAGCGTCTGTGTGTAAAAAACACCAAACATCCGTCACTCTGCTGGGGGAGAGCTTTTTGGACGGAATCCGGGAAAGCCTCTGTGTGTAAAAGCTTTTCTGTGTGAAAGCTTCTGTGTGTAAAAGCGTCTGTGTGTAAAAAACACCAAAAATCCTGCACCCTGCTGGGGGGGAGCTTTTTGGACGGAAGTGTAAAAGCGTCTGTGTGTAAACGCGTCCGTGTGTAAAAGCTTTGGTGTGTAAAGGCGTCTGTGTGTAAAAGCTTCTGTGTGGAAAAGCTTTTGACGAGTCGACGTCGGAGTAGGCGTCGGAGTAGCGTCGTATTGGTGGTGGTGGTGGTGGTGGTGGTGGTCGTCGTCGTAGTAGTAGTAGTAGTAGTGGTAGAAGCAGTAGAAGTAGAAGTAGCAGTAGTGGGAGTAGTAGTAGTGGGGGGGGGAGGGGGGGAGGGGGGGGGGGGGGGAGGGGGGGTGACTTTGATTCAGACTTGGCTAAAGCGCGCGGAGGGAACAAAGGAACAAGTACAAGCCAAGAACAGAAACAAGTACAAAACAAGAACAGACACAAGAACAACACCTCACAATCAGACACGCGGGCAGGCTGGTGGATTTAAGGTTCATGCTTGGCCGGTCATTCTTCACGGTTTGCGAAGTGGAAAACCACCACTTTCAGTAGGTAAATCATCCTTTTTAGCATCTATAAATGGGCAATTTTCGATAGCTGTATTGAATAACCAAAGGGGAACTACACCATTCCTCTGCGGGTTTTGCCTGCTTTCAGGGTCCCCTTTGAAAGCACTGGGCAGAGTTTGCATTGTTTACAGGTCCGACTGTCATAGAACAGGTCATGGCTGTTCTCATCAGATGTTTGATCGTTTTGGGTCCAAATATGAAGTATATAAGTTACCATCTGGCTATTTAACATAGCCATGGAAAATCCCTTATAAATAGAGGTTTCTAGCTGGGAAAATCATCTATGAATGGGCCATTTTCCATGGCTATGTTAAATAACAAGAGGGTATATAAGTTCATTTTTCCTTCTTGGCATCGGAGGACGTGAACATCATGCTGAAGAATGTCTTCGACGTGGTGTGTGGTGCTTTGGCCTACTACATGGTGGGCTATGGCATTTCCTATGGATCGCCCAGCAACGGTTTTATGGGTCTGGGTGATTATTTCGTGGATGGTGATCCAGAGGATCCGTTGAAGACAGGGCTGCTGTACAGCAGGCCAGTCTTGCTAGGAAAGGTGCTTGGGAATGCATTGAAACGGTGAGATTGAGGTGAAAAATAGGAGAACTACCGGGTATTTCAACAATACTCCAATATCACTGTGACCCATGGGACATTTGAAAAATAGCGAGTGCGACAGTGAGACATTCAGGAGACTGTGCTTGGGTGTTTGTGTTTCTTGATGTTGACCCCGAGAGTCATTTGATCAGTAATGTCCTGTCTGCAGATACATTTTTCAGTTCAGCTTCGCTGCAACTTCCACCACCATCGTCAGTGGCAGCCTTGCGATGCGCTGTCGATTTCCTGTGTATTGTATCTATTCTTTTTATGCTGTGATCGTGTATGCCTTTGTGGCACATTGGGTATGGGCCAAAGATGGCTGGTTGGCACAGTTAGGCGCGGCTTCTCACATTTTGGAAAATCCACCAAAGTGATCTATTTCAAACAACCCAGTTGGGTGATATAGGGGTTTATATACTACCCTTGTCCCTTGGCTTTGGTAAGGCTCCCTATCCGGACTTCTTTTCTGTGCCCTGTCGCAGTAAACACTCCCGGGCTGTGGTTCGTTGACCTCGTTTTTTTTGCTCGCGCAGGTGTGCACGACTTCGCGGGCAGTGGGGCGGTGAGTTTATTGGGGGCTATGAATGGTCTCATCGGTGTCTCCATGTTGGGACCTCGCCTGGGACGTTTCGATGACAGTAGGCGCCAAGAAGTGTTTTTTCATATCCCATGTATAACTTTTGATGAATTTCCTACGAATATATTTAGATTGTTTTGTACTAATATTTTACTTAATGTATTTATACTGTTGGTTTTTACCCACTTCTGACATCTTACGAATTCCGATGCTAGGCCGTTGGACACGGCGTGGTTCACCACACCTTTGCCTCGCCAGGCCGCCCAGTGACTTTAAGCCGTCCTCGCCCGCGACGATTCTGTTTGGGCTCTTCATGCTGTGGTGGGGATGGATTGGTCACTGGGCTGGCAGAGCCCCCTCCTGTTAAGGGTAACTGGGGGTGAGTAGTTTTTTTGGTCCACTGAATTGAGATAAACATCGATAAACACGTGTTGTTTCAGTATATATATATATCTATCTATAATATACCCATGCATTGAGTTTGGCAGGCTTGGGTGTGCATGTATCATCTTTAAGTGGTTCAATGAATGCTATCATTTTGGCTCACGTGGAGTTGAACCGAAATAGCATTCATTGCTTTTTCTTTCTGGGTCTGGTAAGGGGTGACCTTCCTAGACCTTGATTGTTTCCAGGGGTAACCTGGTGGGTAGCAAGGGGAGACCTTGCATGCAGCGGAAGCTCCCAGGGATCGACATCCCGGCGGCCACTGAGGCGGCCACTGAGGCGGCCACTGAGTTTAAGCAGCACGTCGAGAGGCTGGCACGGGAAGGGTCCGATCTGGCAGCCTACACTTGCTGGATGCACGGGGTGGAAGTTTGTCATTCACCCTATGTCATGGCTACTGGCACAGATTCTGACCTGTTTCCCCGCATTGCCAAAGATGCCCTGTTGCGTTGAGAACTGCCAGCGCTGCGCAGCCCACTTTGGCGGGTTCAAGTTCCCCTGGCTCGGACTTTGGAATAGCCGAGGCGTCGTTCTGCCCCCGGATGTGGCTCCCAACGAAGCTTGGGACTACTTCTACAGGCACCAGGAGAGGATGGATCTCTTTGACCACCCGACTTGCTGCCGCAAGACCTCTATGGCTCGCAGCTCAGGTGCTCAGCGGGTGACGCTGGGCAGCTGGGACTTGGCGAAGTTTTCGACCAATGGTGTACCTGGCTCTACAGCATCGGCTGGCCAAGAGCTCCCAGGGGGGACGACCCTGGCCAGCCTGGGGACCAGCAGGATCTCGAGCCCACCGGGCACTTCACGTTGCAGTTGGGCACGGCATGCATCGAGCGGTGACCCCACCAGGTGCGTCTGCTGGTCATGCTGCGTGGGTCTATGTAGTGCCTGCTTCACCTGGAGGCAGCGTTGTGGGCACTGCGGGGAGCGTAGGAAGATGCTGTCGGAAGTATGAGGTTATGAGGGAGGAGGATCCTCTGCAATCGCCGCAGCATCTTTTTGCTCTCCGCACCTTAGCAATCTCTGTTAGGGTGCAGTGCCATGGCATCAGGCGGCAAGGGCTACCACGCAGCGCAAGCAGCAGCCTCCTCCTCGTCAAGGGCGGCCGACTCTTTGAGGATGATCGCTGCGCAAAGAGCACGTCAATGGAGGGAGTCCGAAGGCCTCTTGGATGACAATGATTTCGCCTATGCCTACACTGACTATGATCAGGTTGTCGGGCTGGCTGGTCACCACGTAGCTGATGACTGGCTCCAGACAAGAGCACGGGTGGAGGAGGAACTCCTTGTGGCCGGGGCCAAAGTTGTTGAGGACAACCCCAAGAGCTCAGTGGTCCTGCGCCCTGTCCGCAAGATTATCTACAAGAGGAAACCCAGGGCAATCAACGTGGACAAGAACATCAGCGAGGCCGTGCAGAAGATGGTCAACGGCCTGGTGTCCATGTTTCTGGGCATGGGCTCCTACAAGCCTGCCGGCATCCTCACGGACACGCTCAAGGCAGAGTGGAAGCAGACCTGTCGAAGGATTGCCGAGAAGAAGGTTCAAGACGCGGAGAAGGCCACCATTGACCGTGTAGTGAACACCTGGCTGGAACTGCGGTCTTTGTTGGAGAGTCGGGGGCGACCCGCTCCTCCAGAGATGGTGGACCTGGACCAGTACTTGAACCACACGCAGGCGCCAGCAAGAGCATTCCAGGCGTTGAAGTGGAGGAACAAGAACGCCAACCAGGAGCTGGATCTGAGCAACCTGCAGGTGCCAATCACGCCCAGGGCGACTGGGCCGCGTGGCCAAGCACCGGTAGTGGAACCCCCATTGGTGCGAGCTCTGGAGCATGCGGTTGGAGACGAGAAATGGACCGTCCTCCTGGCCCCACGGGTGAAGGCGTTTGGCTGTTTGCGCTATGCGCATATAGCAAGGTCCGAACCTGGTCGCCTCACTTCAGCCTCCCTACATTGCAGGTGCCCAAAAGGCAAACAAAAGCATGCTCGTGAGGGGTTCGACTTTGCAGTGCCTGCCAATCTCTCCAATGGCTTCTTTTGGGCCAAAGAAGTCCTTGAGGCCCTTCGCACTTTGGCGCCGGCGAGACAGCGAGTGGCCGGGCTGTGCTTCTCCGACGAGGGGGCGTGCATGGACTATTTTGGAGGTCCACGCAAGAGACGATGCAGAGCGAGATGGCCGTCTTGCTGGAGAACCCGGAGGAGATCATTACGTACTCCTGTGGAGGCGCATGGCCCCTAAGTTGGCGCAACTGTTGGAGTGCCGGCCAGAGGAGATGGCCGCATTGGGGGACTGGCAAAACAAAGGGCCAGATGGCCTTCCACTACTCGTCAGCCAAGTATGCAGCCTCCATCAAGATCAAGTCTTTGGTGTGGGGAGCCGCAGCCAAGTTGACGGACCAGCTGTCGTGTGGGAGGCGATCCCAAAAGAGGAGCTGCTCGTAGCCATGGGCTGGCCGAAGCTGAGAGACTCCTTCGCCAGGACCGCCAACATATCTGGGCCTCATCACAGAAGTTTCAAGATGTGCGGAAGCGCTTGAAGCTGTCGCAGGCAGCGGAGAAGGCTCGACAAGAAGCAGACGCAGCAGCATCGCCGCTGATGCCTTACTGCCACATTGAAGAATGGGAGGGCCCTATTCCAGACCAGAGAGTGCCCGAACCCGGCCGAGGAGTGCCCCTTTGGTGCACATCTGTGCGCCATTCTATTCTGCAGCAGTCAGGTCGGGCCTGCGGAGGGAAACATGGGGCCGGAGTCTGAGGGCAATCATGGCGACATCAGCTGTGCCAGCCACCCTGAAACCTTCAGCTACGCTGGTGTGCCTGCAGCCTTGGGTGACAGCTGAGCCCACTGATCTCGAGGATGACATGGCAGCCGCGATGAGGGCAGCTGTGAAGAAAGCCCGAGGTGCGGCAGCGCCCAAAACACCCCCGAAAGCAATGCCTAAGACTCCGCCTAAGGCGGCTCCAAAGGCAGCAAGGCGGGCAAACCACAGAGCAAGTCAGCCGCCATGCTCAAGAAGGGCGGGGGTGGAAAAAGGACAGAGGAGCAACTGGACCTCCATCTGGAGCGCTTGGGAGTTGGGTCCGGCACTGCTCAAGCCCCAACTTGCATCTAGACTTCAAGAAAAGGGGGCAAGATCTTTTTGGCAGGGCTCCCCATGAGGCAGATCGTAGACAAGTTCCCAACTACGGCACTGCAGATCTGCTGCTTTCCCAATGGTCCTGAGGCGCTCAGCTCATGACCTTTGCGGCAGCGTGCAGCCAGGAACGTTCTGAGCAGTGGGCAGACGTTTGGCCAGCAATGAAGCACACCATGTGGCACGGGGACAACGTCCTGATCAGAGCAGAGCGTTGCTGGCAGGCGAGTCCATTGAGGCAGCCAATCGCCACATCGAAGCCCGTCGAGAGACAGAGCTCCACAAGGTGATCAAGGACCAGGGCATGAAGAAACGGCCGCACAAAGCTTTCCAGGACACCGCAGTGGGAGCCCAGCATCCTGTGCCACAGGGCTATGCAGCCACTGAGAAGTCCAGCACGCATGTGCTCGTAGAATCTGGCACGACGTTATGCCAGCACAAGCAGGCCGACGGGAAGGCGAAGCCCCTGGTGAACCCGTCCACCACCACTGATGTCTTCGAGGCACTGGCGTGGGAGCGACCTTGGTGCGACCAATGCCTCCCACCTGCCTCGTGGTGGCCACGGCCTGATCCTGCCGAATTTTTGGCCTTTGCGCTACTTTAGCAGCATGGCCCGTTCCGGCTAAGGAGAGCCGAATTCAACCGCTCGGGGCCTGGATAAGAGCATTCAATCTAGCCTGCATGATGCCCCGAGCTGTGACCTCATGTACGATGAAAACAGAGCTCACCCTGTTGACTCCTTTTGCATAGCTTAGGTGTCAGGTGGGAGGCTCTCTAGGCATGTCTTGAGGTTGACGTCTCAACTGCTTGCTCACGGCTAGTCTGGGAGGGGTCCTCCCGGAATTAGGTTTGCAGCAGAGTGAGGACAACTTCATGAGGGTGAACTCAAGACGAGTCGGTTAATGACATTGCATGTCGATTTCATAGCTTCTTGCATTTACTTCAGCAACTTCCAAGTGAACCAACATGTCAGGCCAGACGACGAGCGCACCATACGGGGGAGTCAGATGTCGGCCATGGAGACTGACAAAGTTCCCCTGGAGAAGGGTTCCCCCGAAGAAGTCCTTAGGAAGTTGGGTGACAACTTCGGTTTGGATGACGGGGTGGTAGAAGCCTTACTCCGATTGGGTATCGAAAGCCTCCAGGAGGTTCGGTTTTTATGGGCATCAGAGCAGGCTATCGAGACCTGGATTGGCAAGCTGTGTTTGGGAGACAAAGCCTTGCTGATGACGGCCAGGGTGCGCACGGCCTGGGCAGCGGTAGGGTTGTACTACCGCCAGGTCGAGCAAGATCGCTCCAAGATTGCCCTGTCCGATCTGGACACGATGCTCGGGGAGACCGAGCTGCGCGACACCAAGCAGCAGTTCTGGAGGCGCTACAAGATGAGGCCCCCCCGAGATTCACCCTGCTGACGCCACGATATCCAGAGTGGCCAGGGAGATCCAGAAGCGGATGCTCTGTGCCTACAACATCTGGAGGGTGAAAACGCTACAGTTTCAGCTCACCACCTCCCAGAAGAAGCGCAAGCTTAGTGACGGGTCGTTCATTGAGGATGGCGAGGACAAGGAGATCGTAGCTCACGACGTGGACGCTACCTCGACAGGTTGTTCACTCTGCTGCTGGCCTATGCAATGGCTGGGTGCGCCGGGGTGACCGGTGCGCCTGACGCAGCACAAGAGCTGAGCCTTGGGGCTGACACCACCAAGTTCGTGAATGTGCCACTGGACGTCATCTACAAGTACTACTTTCGTGCAAAGCGCAGCACCATGGTGCTGCCAATGGCCCAGCGCCTACAATGGCTCCAAACACGTGATGTTGAAGAGCGCCGCGAATGGGTGTCGAAGTTCAGGGAATCAACAATGAGCCTGGGCCAAGTCATCTGTGAAGTTTATATTTCTCGTGATGAAATTGGTCTACTCCAGGGCCATCAACACCTGAAAAGAAGACCCTTGCGCCTACGGCCGCATCACCTGTGAGTCCGACAAAGGTCCCCTCGCACCTCCCAGTTGAAGTTGGGCAAGCCGATCAATGGGAAGCAAGTGGCTACAGCCATGAAAGATGGCACCAAGCTCTGCCCTCAATTCCAACTTGGAAGTTGTAAAGCCAAACCATGCCCTCAAGGAGCCCATCGGCGCGCTGCAGTCTTCAGGAAAGATCGAGTTTGTGGGGCCTTTAACCATGGTGCCACGAACTGCAACAGCAAGCGTGTACACCGCAGAAGAGGAGGCGGCTGCCTCTTTTGGGTCGGGCTAGAGCCGCAAGAGGGGAGACCTCTTATGGCCGACTTCATGGCGGGCCCCAATGCCCCTCTTACGAAGGCGTTCATCAGCTGTGGATGGCAATGCCTAACAGTGGATTGCAGTTGTTGGACCCTAGTCATGACTTGGCTGATGAGAGACGACAGCAATCTCTCAGTCGCCAGCTGGAAGAGGTGATCTTCATTGCTGCGGCCATGGACTGCTCTACCAAGAGCAGAGCCCGAGAGATCCCTAGACGATTGATTTGAAGATGGTCGCCCTGCACCAGGCCCACTACCCCGACGGGCTGCCTACTCTGTCAGGACGTGATGCCAAGCGAGTCGAAAACAACGGTTGCAATTACGTTCTCAAGGAGATCCAAAAGCTACGAGACCGTGGCGGGGGGAGTGTCCGAGAGAACCCAGCCCGATCGCTTCACTGGTGGACATCCACTGCAGTTGCAATGTGGAACTCAGGGCAATGGACAGACACCTCATATGCTGCATGTACGTTGGGCGGCACCCGTTGCAAGCATCAGGTGCTCCGACACAATTTGGAAGAGATCCAGCAGTGGGCTTCAGCCCCACGTACATGACCCCCAAGAGTGACGGCAAGAGAGTGTACCCTTCCAAGGAGGAGGCCGAATACTCAGCAGTGCTTGCCTTTGCCATTGCAGTGTCTGCCAGCTGGTGGGCAGCCAGAACGGGTTTGGCAACCCTGGCAAAGCAGTCTATGTATATAGGGCGAGGGAGTTTTCACCATCGCCTGTCGACCAAGTGGATAGAGCAGCACTACGACGAGCCTGGAGACAGCGAGCTGTGGGCGCATTGCGCGAACTGAAGAGGCGTACCTTTCAGGAACCGGCAGTGCACCAAGTGACCAAGCAGCGCGACATCGGCTTCATCGCTCTGCTGATGGTCCTCACATCTTGGGCCAACACATGTTTCCCTTATACGCACCCGCGTATGGCATTTTCCCCCAGCAGCCAGCCAGGAGGAGCGGCATGGCAAAACTGGAGGGATGGAAAGAGCACAACCAGCACATCCTGAATCAGTTGAAAGCGGGCAAAGACGACGCATTCTTGCTGCAGCAGTCCATGGAAGACGCCAGGAATGGTTTTTGCACACCCCCTCTGCGGCGAGCAGAGTTCCTCAGGTACATTGGCAGCCAGGCACACCTCCTTATCCTGCGCTGTGTCATCACCCAAAGTTCGGGAAACAACGAGCCATTGACAACGGCGACACAGGAGGACAATCAGACCTCTCCTCCGATGCCAACAAGCTCACACTATGCAGTCCCGTGAGACCAGCCCAGCACATAAGCCTGGTCATGCATCGATGGTCTGAGGGACAGGTCGCCGAGTTTTGTCACCATGATGCCTGGGAGACAGGCCAAGAGGACTTGCCATCTGCCTACAGATACTACCCTATGTCACAACAGGAGAGCTTAGACTGTGTTGCGTCTGGTTTCACCATGAATGGCAAGCTCCGGCATACCAGGTCTATGCAGGCCTTCTGTTTGGGCCCCACTGGAAGTCACTTCCTTCAACAGATTTTCCAGACTGTTTGAAGCGCTGACTCGCCGGTATTGCCAGGTTTTGACATCCCTGTACTTTGATCATGCCACAATCACTGATGTCCGCTCTGCCAAGGGCTCAGGGCAGTGGGCGATGAACCAACTATGCCTGATGATTGGATCCCCGTTTGCGGAAGACAAGAAGCAGACGATGCAGAGTACTGGCACTTTTCTGGGATCTTACCCACGACCTGAGTTGCATCAACAAGACAGGCCATGTTCGTTTTTGGGCCCGCACCAGACTCCATGACAAAGTTCGTGACATTCTTGCCACAGCACGTCAAGCAGGCCACTTCGCTCGAGGCACAGCATCCAAACTTTACGGACTTGCTAACTTCTTGGAGCAGGGCATTTATGGGCGAGTCGGGTATGGCGGTCTCATGGCCGTCAAGGCACGCCAGGATGAGAATGCCACATCCATGACCCCAGAGATTGAAGCCTGCTTCGAGGTGATCGAAGCTGTGATGCGCTTTCAGCCAAAACGTGAATTTCCAGTTTTCCGGATCAGGTGGATTTCACCTTATCTTTTTCCAACCGGACGGATCGCAAACCCGTTTCAGTTTTGTTGCAACCACTTGTGCCGAGCTTCAAGCCCTCTGGCAGCCTGCGGAGACCCACATTGCGCAACTGGAGCTCTCTATGGTATTGTACGCCCTGGTGGAGCATCCTGACCTTTTTCGCTATCGACACGGTCTTTGGTTCCTCGACAACGTTGCCGCAGTCATGACCCTATAGTGGGAGGGCGCTCTAGTAATTCGGACTTAGCTAAGCTAGGCCATCTGATCCATTTAGCCAAGTTTGCACTGCGCGCCCAGGGTTACTGGGAGTACGTCCAGAGCAAGAGCAACTGCGCCGATGATATCAGTAGATTAGGTGTCAATGATCCTTGGTGGCGCCGCCATGGATTTAGCTTTCATTCGTCGTACCTCCCCACCATCTTTTTCCAGCTGCCATTCATAGCAGTCATCCTCACCTTTGAATTCCTTTAGTGCTTTGGATGTAGTAGTGCGTTGGGTGATACCTGCAAGAGCAGGTGCCAACCTGGGGCGACCAGGTAGCTGACCAGTGGCGAAACTGGTCTGAGGCTATGTGCGTGTCACACAGTGACCAACCCAAAGCAAACCTGAGGATAGCAGGTGAAACTGACTGAACACTGGCAGAGTTTGGAAAAAGAGTTGCGAGTGTCCGTGCGGTACGGAGTTTCATATGTCACTTTGAGATGTACCCATGCATTGAGTTTGGCAGGCTTGGGTGTGCATGTATCATCTTTAAGTGATTCAATGAATGCTATCATTTTGGCTCAAGTGGAGTTGAACCAAAATAGCATTCATTGCTTTTTCTTTCCCCACCCACCCAACCCTAAGAGCCGACCTCCCGGTGCCTGCCAGGCAGGCGAGTACATAGCCTCTTTTGGGGACACTCTCCTGGGGTGACCATGAGAGTGCTTGCCCCCCTTAAGTTAAGGGACGGGTGATGAAATTGGTCTGAGGCTATGTGCGTGTCACACAGTGACCAACCCAAAGCAAACCTGAGGATAGCAGGTGAAACTGACTGAACACTGAGAGTTTGGAAAAAGAGTTGCGAGTGTCCGTGCGGTACGGAGTTTCATATGTCACTTTGAGATGTAAATAAATAAATAATTAAATATATATATATATGCGTGTATGATCTTGAAATACTTTTTTCAGTTCTTCCATTTTTCCTGAAGTCCTGATTTTCACCCATCATTCGAGAGGCCAAGAAAAAGTCCCATGGGTTTCCTTCACTAAAGTGATCCAATGCTGTTGATTGAGCCCTGAGTTTTGCTGGTTTGTAAATCCCTTATATCAACCTTTGAACTTACATAACCTCCCAATCCCTTGAACCCGAGAAGTGGATGAAGGCAAAATTGAAAGCGGAGTCCCACACATTGTTGGGAAAAAGTACTTGGTTCTGGTTGAGATTTTCCCTTCACCCCTTTAATCATGGGCGTCAACCTATAGAATTCTCTCCCAATCCCTTTAAATCAACCAAGAAACATGCAATCTTTATCTGGTTGGTGGTTTGGAACATGATTTTTATTTTTCCATGTATTGGGAATAAATTTCCAACTGACTTTCAAATTTTTCAGAGGGGTTGGTCAACCACCAACCAGTTACGCGTCTTCACTATTTTCAGCTCCATTTTTTACTCCTGATTTTCATCAAAAGAAAAATCACCGACGCCCAGCTACGAGGCTTCAACTGTGGCAGTTCTTTCGGCATTACGGAGGATAAATGGCTGGTCGCCACGCGCGCGGGGGTGTCCACCATCAACGCCACCGCAGGCAGTTCATAAGGGAGATAAGGATTTGAAGCAGTAAAAATCGTGGGATTTGAGCAACGAGAATGAGGATATATATATATATATTTAAGGGCTGCCGCCCCTGCCGCCGACCCCGGAAGAAGTGGCAACGAATCAAACCAAATGGGTACAAATATTCTTCGGTGCTTCGCACTTTCAGGTCTTCCCGACGAATCAAACCAAATGGGTACAAATATTCTTCGGCGCTTCGCACTTTCAGGCCTTCCCCCTTTATCCTATGAATATTTTTGTGAAATATATTTGATAGGTTTGAATGAAATATAGTTTATCAAATAGTTTGCTATACAGTTCCTCGACACGAAATAAAACACAGACGCATCCATTATGCGCAGGTCTTCTATGCAATTGGGATTGTTGGTGTCCAAAAAGGAGATGCAAAAATATGATGGCTGGACATGCTTGGCCATCGTATTTTCCCACGTCAGTGTTGGGTTGGCAAGGTGCAGCAACTAGCTGCAGCGTAGAGTATGCATAGCATTCCTAAAGCAAACCCTACATGAAATTCGACAGAAACCCTAAAGAAACCCGAAATAAAACCTTTAAGAGATGTAAATCTTTAAGAAACGCGAAACCCTCCCAGAGAATCCCTACATGAAACCATTTGAATGAAATTTTAAATGGCATCCTAAAGAGAGCCTAGACGACACTCTAAAAAACTCTGAAGGAAATCCTAAATGGAACCCAAACATAACGCTTGGACATGTGTTACCATGGTTCCGTCCGTGCAATTTGATGGACTTTGGGTGGTATGTACGATGCAATGTAATGTAGTGTAATTTTGTGTAATGTAAATGTACTGTAAATGTACTGTCATTGTATTGCATTGGAACGTAATGTAATGCAATGTAATGTAATGTAGGATGTATGTATGTACATATATATATATATATATATATATAGATAAAAGTAGCTAAATACTACAGATATATAGATATATATATAAGTATTAATATATATATATATATGTAAATTGTTGCAGATGTATACCAGGATGTTGTTCTTGAAAATAAATACTACAGCCAGGACCATGATGACACAGTAACTAGTCTGCCGAACAGGCAGTGTCCTGAACAGGGACGTTTTTTTTAATATTTTTTTATAGGAAACATATGTAGTCCAGGACTTTGTCCTTGGAGTTATGTATATATATACAGTATATACATATAGACTAGGGTCTTGTCTTTGGAGTTACTTATGCATATATAGTCCAGGATTTAGAGAACAGTCAGTTGGAGGAGAGCCATGTAGAGGAGAGTCAGTTGGAGGAGAGCCATGTAGAGGAGAGTCATGTGTAGAAGGGTCATGTAGAGAAGAGTCATGTAGAGGAGAATCATGTGGAGAAGATTCATGTAGAGAAGAGTCATGTGGAGAAGAGTCATGTAGAGAAGAGTCATGTAGAGGAGAGTCATGTAGAGGAGAGTCATGTAGAGGAGAGTCATGTAGAGGAGAGTCATGTAGAGGAGAGTCATGTAGAGGATGATTTCTGTCTTTGGAATTTGATGGATTTTGGCTGGTATGTATGTATGCAATGCAATGTAATGTAATGTACTGTAAATGTACTGTAAATATGTATCGTAATGTAATGTAGCGTTAGTATTATATATACTTATATATATATGTATATGTATATATATATACATATTGATATATATATATATGTATATATATATACATATTGATATATATATATACATATATATATTGATGTCTATATACACATATGCATTAGTTATAGATGTATACCAGGACTTTGTCCTTGGACATATTTGTGTCAGTTAGGCACTTGTATGACATGCAGGAAACAGTAACTAGTCTGCCGAATAGGCAGTGTCCTGAACAGGGACTTTTTTTTTGCACAACTTTCAGATCTCACTTTCCCATGTGGTGCTGGTGGTCAGTGGGGATTTGATCGATGGCACGGGCGCCAGTGCGGTGCCGGCTCCGCGGCAGAAACGGGGGCTTTAAACGTTTAAGGCAGAACACAATGGGGGAAAACCATGGAAAAAACATGGGAAAAGCACGAGCAAAAAGCAAAACATCAGGACTTGTTTAATGCGAGTGACACGGCAAAACGTGGGAGATTTCATCCAATTAGAATGGACATGTTTGAGTAACGTACTGCAACGAAGAGCGTGCTGACAGGTTTCCTAGTGTTACTGCATGATGATGTTTGAAAAAAAATATTTATTGAGTTAGTATAAAAGATAGATGTGTGGAACATCCCCTTGTATAGCCCCTACACAGACCGTATATATTGTAGGCTCTACTACATCGGTTCCTAAGTCCTAGCCATTGATCACCGGTAGAGCTACCTGTCAACGTTACACCTGAGCACGATGCAATGGATGGCATGATGAGCGAAATGGACACTTGACGGGGTTCAGGGTGACCCAAGGGCCCCCGTTGCCCCTGCTTCGTCATTCATCTGCATTCCTTCAGAATTGTTTGGCGAAACAAACTGCTTCACTGTTTCCATGACTCACAGTTGGCAATTGAAAATGGCCCATAGAATTCTACACTGCCCCTCCGTATTACCCTAAGAAATTTTTAGATTAAATAAGAACATGGGTTTGTATCCCCTGATTTCTTGGACAATAATTGGTAGTCTAATAAGGAAAATGGGTGGTATACAGACCAAAAATAATTAGTAGCCTAATAAGGATTGATTTTCGCATGTCGTATGAATCATTATTAGTATGCTAATACGGACAAAATGCCTTATTAGCATGTTAATAAGTTTTATATAACGGTCAGGCGCCTGTTTCAAGATCTTCAGCGACTTGCAGTGCCCAGTTGGTGATGCAGCCATGGGGGTACTAGATAAGAAGATACAGGTACATTGGTTTATATCTAATTATATATTCTATATAGCTGGTTAGTGGTTTGAAACATTTTCCACAAGCTGGACCCATATACATATAACTAGACTCATGAAGTAAAAAGTCACCCTCAGAATTACCCCACCTTCTGTTTGGCTGGTTTTTGTAGAGCCGGGGCCACACAAACCAAATAGAAGATATTGTTTGACAAGTCTAGAGAATAGGGTTCTTCCTTGAAAATGAACCACTGAATGTTCTCTTTCAAGGGCATCTTGAAGTCTATAGGCGCAGTCACAAGCCACGATTACTATGGATTAATAGTGACTATATAATAGTTATTTTCCAGGGATTCATAGGGATTACTCTCTGGTAATGACTCAGGGTTTGCAATTGAAAATGGCTCGTAGAAATATCATGAACTTCGACACTGCCCCTCCGTACTACCCTAAGAGATTTTTAGATTGTAAATAAGAAAATGGGTTTGTATCCCCGGATGTCTTGGGCAATAATTAGTAGCCTAACAAGGAAAATGGGTGGTATACAGGCCCAAAATAATTAGTAGCCTAATAAGGATTGATTTGCGCATGTCGTATGAATCATTACTAGTATGCTAATAAGGACAAAATGCCTTATTGGCATGTTAATAAGTTTTATATAACGGCGAGGTGCCTGTTTCAAGATCTTCAGCGACTTGCAGTGCTCAGTTGGTGATTCAGCCATGGGGGTACTAGATAAGAAGATACAGGTACCTTGGTTTGTATCTAGTTATATATATATATATTTATAGCTGGTTAGTGGTTTGAAACATTTTCCACAAGCTGGACCCATATACATATAACTATTACTTACTAGGCCAAACATGGGCGTGTGGGGTTGCTACACTCACTTCATGCAATGGGAGAAATCAGTGGAAACGGCTTTGGCCAGGAGCGGCTGTGTATCATCATCTGTTTCCCTGGCGTGGCCAACACTGTGGCTGCAACCCTTTAAGGCCAGGCTGGTTGTAGTGTGTAGCTGTATGGGTTGTCTTTGATAGGTAGGCAAGTAGATATCAATGGATTGGTTTAAGGGAAAATCTACAGGAAACCATAGATGTCCCCATTAGATAGGGGGCCTATCTGTAAATCTTCCCTTAAATCAATGCATTGAAGAGAAGATAAAATTGTATAAATAAATCATTTCATCACTGCGCCCTAATAATAAACCTCCCTCAAAAAACATATCAAAACCATAGGTAGGAGGGACTAGATGAGCAGTGGTTCCAAGATCTTCAGGGACATGCACTGCCCAGTTGGAGATTCTGTCATGGGGTAATATCTTGGGAGTCCCGAGATAGGAAGATACAGGGAAGTGGGTTTATATCTAATTATATATATATAGTTGGTTGGTAGTGTCACACATTTTCTATTTTCTATAATATATGGGAGAAACCTTTTCATTGCCTTCTTTTGTTCAGATAGTTATCCTCAAGTAGATGATTTATAGTAAATCCCTACTAATTTGATTGTGATTTATTTGTGCATCTATTTGGGGATGACTATACATGATATGGTTCCGAATCAATATTCATAATTAAATACTATGTATAGGGGGATGAACATCCATTTACCAGCTATTTTGGTGTTCACTAGGGGTACAGGGTTTTGATCCATATCTATATGTTATTGCGGACCATGCAGTTCAGTGGTGATAAATGGAATGCATGGTCAAACATTGTTTATTTTCCATAATAGATGGGATAATTCTTCCCATTGACTAAATTCTTTCAGAGGGGTTGAAACCACCAACCAGATAGTCATCCCTAAGTAGATGGTTTGTAGTAAATCTGTATTAGTTCGATGGTGAGTTATTTGTCCATCTATTTGGGGATGACTATACATGATATGGTTCTGAATCAATATTTATAATTAAATACAATAGCTAGTAAATGGATGTTCATCCATTTACTAGCTATTTTGGTATGCAGTCTTGCATGATTGCGTGATGGTGTGGGACTATTCATGGTTCGAAAGGGCAGGGCAAGCAATGCTGTTTTTAGGATAGCAGCATCTTGACACAATGAAAACAAAATTAGCTCAGACACGTCAATCATATCAAATGTTGTAGTAGTTGCAAACTGGTGTGTTGAAAACTCCAAGCAACAGATGATTTCCC